AATTCTTCATGATTCAATTTCCGAAGTGTTTTGTAACAGCCCGAGAAGAAACAAAATAAAAACATCACATATCCATGAAACGACTTCCTACTTCCGTTTACACTGTACACTTCCTCTCTTTTGTTCTCCCTAACTATACCATTTAATAAGTTTCTCAGGATATTATTAAATCTACCAAAGAATTTACTTTCTTCCCCGTGGTCTGCAAGCTAAAGCATTTTACACGGTGTTGGAAGATAATTTCTTCGTTATTATTGTATCGACCAGCCTTCATAAATGTGTAGTTTGCATGGTCACTCTTTTTCCAAGTTAATTTCAAGGGGGTCAATGTTATGTGACAGCTGGAGATAGACATATCTGAAACGTCACGTAACTGTAAGAGAATTTCCTCTTCCGGTAATATTTTTCCTTCCTCTCAAGGAGTCAGCGTGACGGATATTGTTGATCCTATCTAGCGTACGTGAATTAGTCGTATTACGTCATCATGATAAAGTCATGTAAGTGTGCAAGCGTTTAAGAAGCCCTCAATTCAACCTAGAACTCGAATTGAGGGAGTCAAGATGGCACAGTTGTCTTGTTCATTTGAACCTTACTGTAGAACCAAATTTGATTTTTCTTCATGCTGTCCGTGACGACAACGACTCATACCCCTAGCTTCGTGCATGGATAGCATAAAAGAACACTTGAGAGACGTCAATGTATCTCATAGATGCGTTTCCTCCGAGAAAGAGCTTATTTTAGTTCGTGTTAGCTTATTTGGAGGTTCTGAAGGCCACGATTTCACGGTATACCCTAAATATCGTGCACAACTTGGTGTGAGATTCAGACCCTTGATAAATGCCAGCATCCCCTCAATGGAAATCGGAGAGATAAGGTTGAGAGAGGAGTAAATTTGAAGAGGGCGCAAAATGGAACACTGTCGTTCCAGTTGGTGCAGGTAATTCATTATTGCATTTTGCGTCATCATGTAGACCGATTATATGCCGAATTGTTGTAAGACGCGTAACGTATGTTAGAGTCGATGAATAGGGTATGTGGAGAAAGCTTACTCAAAGGGAGCTTATCTGAACAT